AGACGCGTCGGAGAGGCTCCTGCCCTTGCTCGTGCTGCTCTCGTGCTGGACATTACCTAGGGCCAGGAGGAGAGGGGAGAGAGGCTCAACACAGGCGGCACGCGCGGGGCTGTGCCGCAAGCAAACCCGCCTGGCACGCTGGGGGTGCTCAGGGCTGCAGGCTGCAATGTCCGGGCAGTGCAGGAAGGTGCTCCACTAATCCAGAGTTTCAAAGTTCCATATGGCCCAATTCTGTTGCATTTTTCATTAGCCACCTATTCCTAGATTATGTATTATTCACTTCCAGCTCTGATGAAAGAAATACGTAGCCAGTCGGGGAGTCACGGGAAATAATACTATGGATTAACCTTAGGAAATAGGAGTCAGGTAATATCTACCATCTAAACCCAGCATGGTTTTCTCAATTCAAAACGATACTGTATTCTAGCCCTCCCTGGGTCAAAGTGGCCTTCACTTTTTCTATCTCCTCCCTCCTCTCCTCCATTAATCACTGTGAAAATACATTTAAAGCCTGAGCTGGCAAACTATCATGAGAATTTAAGACAGTAACTAAGGGAAAAACTGCTTGAAAATTTTTACTTTTCTACAGCTCTAGTCCCTGCCAACTTTTACTACTTGTCATCAAGAAATAAACACTAAAAAAAAAAAAAGTAAAAGTCATCACGTGTTCTCCACAGTACAGACGGCTACATGATCTCTCCTGCCAGAGTTCAGAGGCTCAGGCAGGGCTCAAGCAGCAAAATGTATGGAATGGCAGTGACAGCAGCACTTAAATTTCCATCAATCGCCCCTCATTTCAACCTGCAGCAGAACTGCATTTCAACTAAATGAGGTTCTGGGTAGCTAAGAAGGTGACAAAATTTAACATCCATAGAAAGAAATATTTCTTAACTTCTTTTACCAAGAAAAACTATTTTTATTGATTTATTGGACAGATCCAAAAAACTAACTTGCCGAACTCCCTGCCACAAGAGGCCATGGCGACCAAGAGCTTAGTCCGATAAAATTCTGGGCAACCGAGCACGGGTGCCCTCTTCAGCTGTGCACCAGTTCGTAAGAGAGCCGTGTGAGCTGCGCTTGCAGGGGCAGTAAAGCCAGCGCCGCGGTGCCCGGCGCTCACCCCGGCCCTGCACGGGCCGCCTGCCGCAGCACCGAGCGGCCGAGCAGAGGCCGCCTGCGCCCAAGGGCACCTTTTACAAAGTCCTCCTGTGGCACTCAGGAACCCCCGTGCACTTTCCAGCACTGAAAGAATTTTTAATCTCAATCACCTAGCAGAGGTGTTCTTTGCTCAAGTTGCAAAAAACAGCTCCGGCTCCAGACTTATCAATCATTCATACTGCTATTCTACAGCTTTCTATCTACTAGGCAGGAGAATTTCAGTTCTATGGAAAATTTTGGCTGTGAGAAGAAAAACAACTTAAATTATGAATTACAATGAATAGATGAAGTTTGGTCTTCCCGTGAAGGGTTGTTTTTCCCCCCAACACTGTCAAAATGCTTCATAATTATTTTAAACAGTTTAGGCAATAAAACAAGAATGTTAGTATGCTGTCAAAGTTAGTTTAGTTTTTGTTTTTAAACTCATCCTTCCAAAAGGCAAAATTGACATGTTTCCACAAAAACATTCGATTCAGACTAAATTGCTTTCAAAATACCCAAGCAAGCAAGGGAGGGGAGGGGGGAGGAAGCCTAAAACAACAACAAAAAAACCCATCAAACTCCCACAGAGAAAACTAGTCTAGGGACCAGAGATTGGATTTTTTCTTTGCCCGAGCTTGTCCACTTCTTTCTGGGGTCAGGATGCCAACTGAATCATGCAAGTGAGAAACTGAGCAAACTGCTGCTTGGGGAAGCAGGGTTGCCAGGGTGCTGACAGAAGAGGAGCATCTCCCCTGGGATCTGGATCCCGCCAGCTTTACGTGCTTACGCCTAAGCCAAACTAGTCTTTACGCGCGCCATGCACTACTGCAAGCAGAACATTAATTGCTCAGTTCTGCTAGAAGATTTGTGGAGACCATCAGTGTCAGGAGAAAGGAAATGCTTTGGGATATTTCTGTTTTACATTTGTGCTATACAATAAGCCTGCCTTCCATTTTTCAAGCCCAAATTCTGTAGGAAGCCAGTTATGCTCAGACCTGCAGGGAAAACTGATTGGGGTGATTTATCACTTCCACTGGAGAAAGAACCCCAGAGCACCTTGATATTAGCTCTAATGCAACAACCTTTGGGCATCCTGCAAGAAACTGAGAGAATCTCCCCATTCTGCTTCATTTACCATTAGTGCAGTTGTTCCTACCTTGCACTTCTTAATTGACCTTGTGTGTGTTGATGGACTAGTGAGGCAATCTGCCCCAAGAAAGAGAATTTGATTGCTGCCTTCGCTAGCCTGGCTCGCAGCCAAAGCTGTAGTTATCCACACATATTTACTCCCTACTCACTTGTCAAGACGTGCATTTTTTACAGTGGCTTCCACAAAACAGAAGAAAATGTACCAGCAGGGTGACTAAGCAGCCTCTGTTTCCTGTTCCTAAATAATAACCAGTATGAGGAGACCTGGCAAATTCTGAAGCCCACAAAAACTGATGTAAAATAGGAAGTACACATAAATGCCAAAATCACAGACTGTTTTATTTAACTGTAGTATGACTAACCAGCACTAAAACCTCTGAAGTATAACACTTGAAGTGTACTCAGGTGGATGAATTTCCACTGGGAACACATTATATAAAGTACTGACAGTACCTGAAAAAAAAAGACATTAGGTGTTGCCTCCTAATCTTGTCTCCCACATCCTAGCTACAATACCTTCTAATTTTAAGGATCTCTAATCTACGGCACCAGAACGCGGTGCCTGAACCCCTGCCGGTATTTGCAATAAACTGCTCATTTACAGCATGCACCTTCACAGACTAATTCTTCCAGAAGCAGCCTTGGTGAGATGGTAATTTTGCAGACTAGATGTACTGCAAGTCTTAGAAACACGCACCATGCTGACTAGAGACTAAGACAATTATTATACAGTGCCTTGAAAAATGAAAATACAATTAAGAGAGGCTTATAGAGAGCCCTGTTTTCCACACCTCTGGAAACCCCCAAGCATCATCATCTTCACAGAGATCTAGGCAGAGTGGGATGATCACTAGCTATCCCAAACGATCAATGAGAAGCCCTCTCTGCAGACTCTCAGACCCTATGGAGGAGTATGTAATGACCATGCTCACTGTGCTCATCACATCCAAAACATTCCCACCAGCAGGAAGTCACCAGAACCACGTTGCCAAGGCCGACGGCTCAGCAGCAACCCCAGAAAAGGGCGAGTTTCCAGGCCAGGCCCCCAGCACTGCCCGTGGCCCAGCCACAGCTGAAAATTCCTCCATTAGTGAGGAAGATTCTCCGGTTGGTGTATTTACACCAACCCCACGCTGTGGCCTGAGGACAGCGCGGGGAGCCCTGCGCTGGGGACGCCCGGCGTTACAAGGTTGGCTCACTGCAGCAGAGCCTCGCTCGCTCCTCGGACTCTTGGCTGGTACCCCTTCTGTGTCACCATGTTTTCTGCTTTCACTCAGCGGAGCACGTTCCATGTTTCCTGGCTCCTACCCACCTCCCTTAGCAGCAGCCTAATCCATGATCCGAGGCTTTATTCAATTGTTGCAGAAACAAATCCATTCTGGACTTCTATCCTCCCTAGCACTTGCAAATAAAGAACCAATGACTAGCTGAAGGTCAGGCTAAAAATAAAGCAAAATCATGCACATATGCCACCTTACCTCACGCCTTGAAAGCAAGTTTGTTTACTGCCAAACTGACAGGGAGCCAAGCAAGAATTGAGTTTGTTACTCTTTGGACAGGGATTTTCTGTAGCAAAGACATGATAAAAGCTTCTGAAGAGCAGACAGCACGCACCTACATCCATACACTGTGGTCTCCCGAGGATCACCAGTTTAAAGCCAGAAATGTGCAGCTGGCTAATGATATTCATAAAGCACCCACTACCTATTTATACATATAGTGCAGAAAACAAGAGGAAACTGGTGAGTCCTTCCCCGCAGCACTCCTCTGCACTGGGAGCATGGTTAATATTTACCTTTGGTTTGCAATTCTTCAGCTGCATCAGAAGTGTCCACACGAAAAAGTAAGTACTGTTGGGCCTGCAGGAGAAGACCTGGGAAGTCTTTTTCGATAGAAGCAAAATGTTCAATTTTATTTTTCACAGATGCCAGCACCTGCCAATACAACAGTAACAATTACTTTTTCTTCCCTTGAGCCCAATGCAGCCACAGTCTGAATACTCAGGCTTCCTCCAGCTGCATTAAAAAAAGTGTTATGATAAAAGTTATGGTCAGACAGAATTTCCAGTTCTTTGCACAAATATAATTAAAACATCAAAATGAGATGAGAGAGGCTCCCAGACAGGTGGGAGAACAACAGGTGGAACTGAAAACAGCTACAGGAAAATTAAAAAAAGAAAGAAAGAAAAAAAGACACCAAAAATACTGTTCCAATTTAGAATAGGCATGACTAATGCTCATGATCAGGTACCTGATAAAGCGACCGTACGCTAGGCTGAAATACCATGTTGGTGTTGAGCAGGAAGGAGCAAAGAAGAGGCTGTGGGTAACTTGCCAGCTGAGTAATAATCCCAATAAGCAGCAAATTTACATGCAAGGAATTCTCCAGCATGTTCTCCAGCTTCGACAGCACCACGCTGATAAACGGCCCTGCAAGAAAGGAGGAGGAGCCAATAGTTTCGTTTTTCATGGAAGAAAAATTCTAAAATCCAAGAAATAAGCATTTAAAAGGAATTGTGATCATCATAACCAGCCAAATCTGACCTCCTACATGCTAATTAAAGCCAGTGGGAGGAAAAAATAAAATTTATCTGAACAGACAAAATACACATAACAAAAGGTGTTAAAAGCCATCACGAGGAAAAGCCCTTGAACTGGCTTGCCAATGAGTTTTTGTTAGCGGCATACTAACAGTGCACAAGGACTCTACTTCACTTGAGCAAATAAGGATTTAGCCTAATGGGTTATAGCCTATTCCCCTGCAAGCTAACTGGAAGAATGCAAATGGACACAGGCCTTTCTGCTGTTGCTGTGCCTCAGTTCCACAGAGGGCCCAGGCAAAGCAAATGGTAGCTGTGCTCCTTGTCTTACCAAAATTGTGCTGAAGAGAACACGAAAACTCTCCTTGCAACACAAACACAAAACTGTTAACAGTTGCCACCTCAACAAAAGCCTGCAGACAAGTCATGCAAAGCATGGAAGCACCTAAGAACAGATGTACCACAAAATCAGTGGAAGATGGAGGCTTTATCATACAAATATCACTGAATAATAGCTTTAGTTTGTGTATTCCTTTTGCAGCATAATCACTGAAATACGGAACTATTTACTATGAAAGTACATCAACCCCTCCAGGCTCAAGATTAAGAAACCTTTGCCAAGGTAAGCATGACTTGAACCAAGGAACAGTGGATCTCACTACATACTGCTAGACTGCAGAGCAGGGGCGTTGCTTGAAACAAGCTGTAAAAGCAAATTCATGACAAATAAAGCACTACCATCAGCCCTTGCCCAAAGCCAGTCCGACTACACCGTTCGGGCTGTGTAAAAGCTCTGGAAATCCTGCCGGGGACTCCTGCAACGCCACATTACCAACTTTGAATACCTCAGTGCCAGTCCCTGGCAGAAGACGGATCCTAGGGGCATTTTTTGGGTGGAGAAGGTGGCCAAGCCCCGACCCCATTTGCGCTGCTGCAGCTAGTGGCTGGCCTTGCCGGGCCGGGGCGCCTGCTGCGCTGTACACTAGGCTTATGCCGCTGCCACAGAGGCCCAGGCAAGGCCGGGCCAGCGTGACTGCGAGGACCAAAGCCCAAGGGCCTGTGCTGCTGTTTCACCCCAGACAGTGTCCCTCGGAGCTGAAGCCTGTTACATTTTACAACCGGTGTGGGCACAAAGCGAGTGCTCCCGCGAGCCCTGCCCGTCACCATGACAGCAGTAGCGCTCAGCTCCCATGGGGAGGCACAAGGGCCATCACAGACAAGGGCTTACACGGCCCTGCCCTCACACGCCACTGCAGTGGTCAGGGCAATCCGTATCGTACCCTGGAGGAATCCTCCCTGCCTGGGCACCCAACCCAGCAGCCTAGAAACGCGTGCTGAGGAATACAGATTGTTCTAGCCCTGTGCAACCTCCTGTTTCCCCTCCCATGTTCCTGGAGGTACTTGCACAGCACTCCTGAAGACCACTGTGCATGGGGGCTTTAGAAAGAAGGCTTCCCAGAGAAGGAGTTGCGGTAAAACAGTTTCTCCCTTTCAGGTGACCTGCTGGATCTGAGAAGGTAAAGCTGAAGGTCCATGTGTGGAACATACATAGTGTCCCACTCCAGGACAGGTGACCAAAATGCATACATAGAACTGTCCCCAAGGTAGCATCAAAATAAAAATCCAAGCAACTGTGCACAGTTATAAGGAAACGGACAAACAGATTGGGAGCCAAAAAATGGTTCCTTCCTGTCTATGCAACTCCATTTGTCTATATAGCACTGATTTATACAAATAAATAAATTGACAAAAAAGGGAGTTTGATGCATGGTATTTTTGCTGCTGAACATCACATTCTTTCTTGTTCAGGAGCAAATAGGAACAGTTGCATTTAATGGCTTTAAATCAGACAAGAGACCAACTGCACTAGGATCACAGCCACATATTAACATTTTCTGCATAAATCCATGGAGCTGAACATCAGTATCTTTGTGCTGCTAAGACCTCCTGGGTGCAGACACCTCTACCTGGTTACTTGAGTCTGTATGAAGAAACTCCACCCCACGCTAATATCCCAAAACAGCAAAAACAACAACAGAAAATCCTAATTCCATATGTCTATACACATATCATAGCACTTCAAATCACATCCTTATATTTGAATGAAAGTGCAGCCTCACATTTCCAAGGCATTTTCAGAAGCATCTCCTTACTGGAGATCACTAAGAGAGCCTTTAGAGAAAGGTAAGGAGCCAAAGAGTCAAGCCTGTTGTGGGGAACAGACAGCAAGGCCATAAGTCTTTCTGTTTGGTTGGGTTTTTTTAGTTTTGTTTTTAGGAACAAATGGGAGGAAAGTACTGGATGAAGAATGAGAGAGTCGGGAACAATATATTTGAGCTACATTTGGCAGCAGGTAATGGGAAACAGAAAGGTTTGAATGTGATTAGCTTCTCTTACAAAGAAATTCCATCTCCATATGAGGAATAACTACTTTACTGTGAGGGTGATAGAGCACTGGAACAGGCTGCCCAGAGAGGTTGTCGAGTCTCCTTCTCTGGAGATCTTCAAAACCTGCCTGGATGCCACCCTGTGCCCCGTGCTCTGGGTGTCCCTGCTGGAGCAGGGGGATTGGACTAGATGATCCCTTCCAACCTCAACCAGTCTATGATTCTGCCAAACTACCATCACAGCAAAAGTAGGAAATGGACTGGAAAAAACAACAGGTTGAATTTTTCAAATACCAAAGAGACAGTGCCAGGCGTGCTGGGCCAGAAAGAACTGCCTTCTAGTGGATAAAAGTGACCATTTCCCCCTTGCCTCCTAGTCGAACTAGAAGTGAGGTAATGCAGGTTTTGCTTGGTGTGAGAAAATCTAGATGCATTTTTTATTTGCATTACTGTGCTCTCACTAAAGACCTAGAACTTGCACTGCAAGGAGCTGTACAAATGCAGATCAAAAGTACATCTCTGCTCCCAGTAGCACTCTACTACTTGAATGCTTTGGGCAGTCCAGAGACCAGGCTTTAACTGGCATAAGGGAGCAGTGTGTGCCGCTGATGAGCGTGGCCCTGACACACGCACACGATGCCAGGGCAGAGCTTGCAGGACAGGTGGGCACAACGTGGCACCAGTGCTGCCACCTCCTGCTAGAACGTGAAAGAGCAGAGAAAAAGCAGGGGCTACGTGATACTGCAACCTCAGCACCTGTAGTAAAAGCACAATTATTCCTGAAGAAGCCTGGGTAGAACAGGTACTCCCTTCTGCTTTCAATAGGGACCTTTCCTCCTAGGATGATGGAGGTCAGGCATAGGAGCAACATAATCCCATTTCAAGATTTTAAATAATTATAAAAAAGAAGAGGCCAAGAAAACTGTGCAACCATCATTTGCTACAACTCCACTAATTGCTCTGCTTTTATGTTTCATCTCTTTCATTCTCCTTGGGCCAACCTCAGCTACATGAGCTGCACCCTGTTTAGGGCTAGGATTGTTCCTTGCTCTATGTATTTGTGACTTGTGTTGCACAAGGGGATTTTCTTTGCCACCTTTCATCACCAGACCTTGATATTTGTTATGTATGTAACAGGTATGTATGTAAAAGGACATTCCACCTGTAAATGGTGTACTCTGGCTCCTGGCAGCATGCTTGGGAAATAAATCCTCCTTTGGTCCAGAGGGAGATGACACGCTTTCTGCAGAAGGAGTGTCTGCTGAGAAATTCTCAAAGTCCTCCTCCTCTTCTGCTGGGGACACAGGGCCAGGAGAGCCCAACTTCTGTTCCTCCAAGCTCGCACTGCTTGGATCCAGTTCCTTAATCATTTTGTCATACTGTGCAATGAAATCCTCACCATCTGTGCTCAGCAGTCTCATGTTTAAGCTATGATCTGCCTCCTGAGGAGCACGCTTCAGCTCCAAGTCTGGCTGGGGATCAACCTCAGTCATTTTCTGGTTTGTTTGTTCTTTTGTTATACCTAGAGTCAGGCTCAAATTTCTCTTACTGTCTTCATCCAAGACCATCTCCAATTGGCTCTTTGCAAGAGGCCCATTGTTAAGAGTCTGGCTATTGACTTGATGATTTCTGGCTACATTTAAAGTCTTCTTCTCAAAATTGTCATCTTCTTGAGCATCCTTCTGGGCACATAATCTGTAAACCATAACATCATCTTGAAAGTCTGATTCTTCTATGTAAGATCCTTTGATGAGCATGATTGCATTTTTCTTCATCTCTTGAATGTGTTTGGGTGGCTCTACAGGTATCTGCATTTCTGTGCTTTCCTGATCTTCATACACATGCGGTGAGCTCACATCAGAGCCAGCAGAAATCCCTGTGTCATAGCTATCATCCCACTCTAGTTCCAATTGCATCTTCTCACCAACGGGAGTTAGTTGAGAGGAGCTACACATGCTGGGTGCCCTCTGCTGGAGATGAAACATGGGATGTTCCACATCTTTATTGTTCTCCTCTGCAAGAGTTTGGATAAAAGTGTCTGGATCAGGATTTTCTCCATCATAAAAGGCAGACCAAACCTTGCAGTCCTTCAGACACTGAAGGATGGATTCTTGAGCTTCCCACAGGTACTGCAGATAGCTGATGTCCACTGATCTTCCATATTCCACAATGCAGGTGGATTCAGAAGCATCTCTGCAAGAATCTGAATGTAAGTAAAATAATTATTCATAACATGAAACTATAAAACAACTGAAAAGTTCCCTAGCAAAGCAGTCACTGAGACATGGCGAGTGAAGCCTTTAGCCTCAAACATCTAGTAATGCAGGAAGATCAAAAGCACAGAGATTCGGAGATGTACTCATGAATCACACATGACTTGTTCATACTGTGAGATCAGCACTGTAACATACGATTTCTGAGACCAGCCCATGCTCAATTCTTCAGACAACAGTGACCTCTGAAGCAGGAAGAGTAACAGTCATGTTCCTCTATACTGTTCCCCTGAATGCATATTCAATGTGGAAAGCTGCAAAATAGAGTTTCAATAGACCTGGACATCTGGAAGGAGTTAAATAAGCTTACTTGCTCAGTACTTTGTTGCTCACTATCTTCCCGTCCCCTTTGGCTCCCCAAACAAGCTGCTGACAAACCAAACTCAGTTCATGATCTGGTGTTTACCTAAGCATCAAATACCTTTAGTTTGTGCTGTCTTTGTCCAGAGAATATAGGCTCTTTCTTGGCTTTCAAGAGTCAAGGTGATCCCAGTGGAGCAGCAGATGGGTGTGAGAGCAAGCAGTTTAGCAGCAGATACTGAGTAACAGTCTCTCTCCTTCAGAGCCCGTCGCTGGCTGAACATCATGTGGTTACATGGGATCAGATACCTGAAACAGCAGAGCCTAGTGTTAATCTATTGGCCTTTTATATCTGAGAAAGCAACAAAATGCCAAAATTATTTTCTTCCCACCTTCCTTCTCTCTCTTAAAAAAAAAGATAAAATATCTTTACAGTGATCCAAGTTCTAAACCTCTCAAGAACATGAAGCCTTGACTCCTTACAGTGTGAGACTAAGGCATAATGAGGAAATGTCAATTAAAATAGATAGATTTGATGCACCACAATGGGGAAATAAATAATGTTTGGCAGGTAAGAGCAAACCTGCTGTAACAAGAGGTGAGGAAAGAGTAAGATGTGCATGTATCTGAGGCTAGCAGAGCTGGGTGGTCCAGATCCAAATGAGTTACATCTCGATATCGTTACTTTAATTGTTTATCTGCATAAACTGGAAAGAGTCAGCTTATGTGCACCAGGCAACAACCGGTAAAAGGGAGGGAAGAGCCATGTTTTACTGCACAGATCTAGACTAAGCTTCAGGGCACAGGAAGGAAAGGCTATGGGGACAATGAGGAACAGAGGAAGCACATTCTTACGTTTAACTTTCTTAGAACAATATTGGTTAGCAATTTTAAAGCATTTTTATTAAGGTCCTGAGTGTTAACTAGGCTGATATTTGGCTATTTGAAATGAAAACAAATTATAAATGTTTCCCTGTATAAGCAAGCAAAAGACTAAGCACAGCATTCAATGCTGTGTATGGTAGGAAAGTCCCATCATACTTGAGCTCTCAGAGGACCTAGCAATGTTCTCAGGCACAGCAGCCAAAGCTAGAGTGAAGCTCACCTTAATGCTTACGGGTAGAGGCCAGACAGCTACCACAAGATCTCTAGTGTGAAAGTCTACTTTAGTTCTGCTAGTACATGTAAATCTAAAAAAAAAAAAAATCTAACCTAATAATACATCCATCAAAAATAGCACTGAGTATTCTTATGCATCCCGGGGAACTATCAGTTAAAACCTAAATCAAACAATCTATTTATAATCCTTGTTAATAATAATCCTTGTTAAAGAGTTTAAGAACTTGAAGTATTCTTGTGTAAAAGAGGAATCAAAGAAGTCAGGGAAAAAAAAAAAAAAGGAAGAAGCTGTGAATGAGTATATTGCTCTGTATCACAGTGTACAATACTCAGGAGAAAACACGCAGGAGAGGAGAATTATACGTTTGGAATCACAGAATAAGCAGTTTGGAGGTGGTAAATACATTCTTGGCTTATCTTCTCTCACTTTTATACAAATAAATCACACACAAAAAATCTGTTGTGCCTGAAGATTGCAGGATGTAAATCATACTTCTTCAGGTCTGGTGTATTTCTGTCAGAATCTTAAATGTTCTTGTCTCTCCAGCTGCTTGGATTTGTCCTCTTGGAGGATTTGCAATGAGTCCTACACCATTCTGAGACTACATCTCAGAATTAGGATGCGAAAAGGCAGAAGTTTGGGCTTTACCTCAAAACTAGCTGCAGCATCACGTCTTCACAGTGTAAGCCAATGAGTGTTCTGAACAAAGCCAAAGAGACCACGCAGAGCTGGGAAATGATAAACACAGTTAGTTTTTGATCTGGAAATTGTACCTTTCCAATCTTCCTTGCATTCTGCATTACCAAATGGCTCAGGCAGAACAGAACGCTTTGTAAGACACTGCAAGAATGCTATTTGTCAGCACCCCTATGGGATTTTATTAAGTTGTCTAGAGTAGGACATATACTGAGATATGTTTGAACAAAATCCATGCATCCAGAAACTTCCTTGAAAAAATGCCATTTGAAAATATATTCCTTGCAAATGTATTAGCATAACTTGTATAGACCCGAAAGCAGCAATTTACCAGTGTTTAATATATTTTTTTTCTAATTTAATAATTTAGTTTAATTCAGCGTGACATGAACTCTGACTTGGAAGACAGAGTATTCTATTCTACCTCTGATATATAATTTGAATAAGCTAAAGGTCTTTTCTGAAAAAAAGCCTACAAGCCACATCCAACTTCTGTTGTTTTGCATGTTAATGGTTAGTGCTCTGCACATGAAGTTGAGTGCCTCTAAACCCCAGAATTTCCATATCAGTATCTGTGTGTGCTCGGGAGGTCAGGACCAAACAATTCACATTTATCAGAATTACTGCCTATGGAACAGTCCCACTTTACCCAGCCAATCCAATGATACAAATCACTTCAGTGGTTGGGAACCATGACAAGGCTTCTTTCCTTTTCTTTATCCTTATCTGAGAGAAAGTTAAGAGTCCTCTTTGGAAGCATATACGTGTCTTTTTGGCAAAAGTATGATCAAAATATACCCACAGTCAAGTATTTCAGCAGTTGTTCACCCAACAGAGGAAAAAATCACCTGCCATTCTATGACAGGCATCTAAATTTTACATGAGCTGCTGGGCAGACTCAACATTTTTAATTCTACAGGCCTTTTTGGTTACTAACTAGACATACAACTCCTTTCAAAGCTATCATACGGTATGCTTCTAGTTGCTGGCACTTGCTGAACCAAAGAGATGTACCCAACATAGCCGTAATGTGCCAGCATAAGCCCTCATTTCCAGTTGGTTTTCATGGACTCAAGTGCCACCACTTCCCCTGCCCCTTAGTGCACACTTCCTTGCGTACTATCTCCTGTTTGCTGCTTTTTCCTGGAAACGGTATCTCACAGCTAGCTTAGACTCCAGGACCTTCTGGGCTGACTCTTCTGAGAACTATTTATTGTAAAATGACCCTTTCAAAGTTTCAGCTTGGTGTTTAAATCACTTTCTTTATTCCTGTTACAACAGGATTCTACAGCAACACACTGCTATGAACCTGTCCCTAATCCATGTTTTCTCTAAATTGTCCTCATAAAGACTCTCTATTTCAACATTTCCTATTCCCTCGGACAAACTTAAGCAATTCTCCGACAGGATGATCAGCTAGTCATGCTGACAATGACCAGGCAAGTGCTCCGATTTCATGAGAATACATATACATGTATATGCATTCTCCCTTACTTGGTAAGCATCTCCTGGGAACAGTTAAATAGCAAAGTTGCTATGGAGGTCACTTGATCGCCTCAGAGAAGGAAAGCTTTCCTCCATTCTCAGTGTTAGCTTGCTCACCAAGCTGGACAAATGCAAGAGAACGTGAAAAAGCCCACAGTCAGAAAGCCAGCTGGGGTCTGGCGGCAGGCACAGGCAGCAGAGCGGAGCCATGCGAGTCGGCATGGAGCTAGAAGACCCACATGGGGAGCAGGTGGTGGCCCGTCTGCTCCAAGGCAACACGGAGTGGAGCTCACGCTTGCTGCCCTGCCTGCAAGGGCACTAGTTAGTCCAAGACCTCGTGTCTACAGAAAGAGAGGGAGTAAGGAAATTGGGGAGAGGCGAAGGTATAACCAGAAATGGAGTTCTTCACAGAAGCGTAAGAGCAGAGTTGAAGACCTGTAGACAAGCTGTTGGAAGAAATCATATCTTTCAGGGAAAGGTATGTTTTAGCTGAAGGACGTGGGAGGAAGCATGAATTCTCATTTCCTCTGTGAAATGTACTGAGTATCTAACTATTCTTCATGCTGTGAGAGTTCAAAAGGCTGGTAGAAATAATCTAAATTACCTTTTTAAATGTTCTTCTATTTAGGGAATTGCAATTGAGTTTGCAATATGGTTGGAAAGAAAAACAAGAACACAGGATTCATCTGAAGAAATAAAGCCAGTCTATTCTTGTGTTTCATAAAAAGAAAAATGTTGTATCATGAGATAAAGACAATGGTGCTTTTATAAATGCTTTTGGCCACCTGTCTGTACATAAATATAATCCTCTGAATTATTAATAAACCCTTTCAGCAATAATAATGTATGCAGCTTTTGTGCTATGGAAATACACAGAAGGTTGCAGTTCTGGATTCTGCATTTGTCCAAGCTGTGCTGCAGAAAACTCATTTAGTATCACAGAACCATTCTGGCTGAGATCCCAAGTAGAAGTTGCTCAGGGCTGGAGAATTCTTTACAATTCCCATTTCCTTTGCCTATGGAACAGTAATTATGATTAGCAAAGACAATAGCATTTGCATTTTTTGTCGACAGAAGCCATTTCAAGTTTTCAGAGTTAATCCATCTTAGAGATGCAGTAACAGCGGCATGTATCCATACCTGCATGCACTTGCATTACTAAACAAACTTCAAACAAGGCTACTGACCCTAATGCACAATTTTAATGCACATGCTCATGTTCTGGCTTCTCCTGTACCTGCACTAAAACAATAGTCTGTATTTCACCAAGGAAGCTGTGTATCACACAAGATTCAGCCAAGAGTGCCAAAAAAAAAAAAAGGCTCAGAAGGATAGTCCACTGCAGTGCGTATTCGCTGTTTCTGCCAGAAGATCATTCTGTTAGCAAAGGTATCTCTAGTATCTCCATCAGCTAGCTCTCCAGTTTGGCATACACAAAGGGTGGTCTCACTGTATATTTAAGATAAACCTCAACTATGCAGGCAAAGATAAGGAAGTAGGAATCTGATTACTTGAGCAAGGAAATGCCTTCTCTTAAGCAAGCAAGGAAGCAGATACCACCATAGTTAAGTGAACATGCTGTACCAATACATACTTGATTCCTGAGGAATATGTTGGCAGTAATGCAGTTCAGAACTCGAACAATTTGGAGAAATTCCTATATGCTCCCATCATATCCCAGAAAGATTATTTAAAACATTGTTGCTTGGGAAGGTTCCAAAGTCCAAAAATGCTCCTCACACCCCAACTATATTTATATAACCTACAGTGACTTATCTATTTTAGCATTAACATAGCAATACTCAGAAGAAAAAGGCTTCCAAATTTACTTTTAGCTTTCTAGCAAAATCCAGACTCCCATAAGCCCCTATCTCCTTCTATCCCATCTGCCTGTATGCATAAAGCCACCCCACACATTTATCAACCTCTCAGTACAAAGGTAGCTAGACACAGCAAACAAGCAAAGCAAGTTAACAGAAAGGTCTCTAGATTCTTCGTTAAAAGATCCCCGTGAATATGGAGAGTTCCCCATTTAAGTAGTTCACCTCCTCCCACGGTGGGACATGAAGCACTGCCTGCCTTACCCGGAACGGCGTGTTGATACGGCTTGTGAGCGTATCAAGGATGTGCACGTTCTCGTGTCGATGCAGCAAAATAAAACGGAGGAAAGTCTTGAGGAGAGCTGGCTCTGAAACACTGCGCAAGAAGAGATCCAAGTATGCAGTAGTAGTCATCACTTCTTCAACAGTCGCCTACAGGCCAAAACAAGATAAATGAAAAAAATACTGCACACAAAATATATCCCCATCATCTCTAACGATACAATACTCAACACCCACCCACCCACAGCTCTCCATAGCACTGCCGTAAAGATATTTGGAGATCTTCATTTTTCAATCTACAAAGTAGCATGTCTTTGACTTACAAGGTCAGCAATTTTCAGCATTTTCAACCTGTTTCTCTCTGCCCTGATCCCTACCAAAAAGAAAACAAGCCAGCACCCCAAATCTCACATGTACTAAAAATCAAACAGCCAAACTATGCTAGAAACTGCCCACCACCTTTCTGCCACATGTCAGCTCTTTTCCAACATACATCTGCCATTCTTTAAAGCATTTTCAGACACCAAGAATACTTGCATTTACCACCTTATTAGAAATAAATGACAGAGCCAAATCAAAGCACAGGGCAGACTCATGATTTTAGATCTTTAAAAATAGTCCCATGTCTATGCAGAATTTTGCATCTAACTTCCTCCTTTTTATTCCCCACAGGACCACAATTCCTTATCTCGCCCAAATTTCTTAAAAATTGGTCTACACATGCATACACAGGCAGAAAGACAGTCTTCACCATTCACTGCTTGTATGTCTAAATTCAATTCAAATCTCCAGGTGACATTTGCATATCGCTCGGATAACCCACTCTACTTTGCCTAATGCAATCCTCCGGAGCTTATCTTTTGACAGTGCGCACTGGAAGGCACAGCAAATTCCAAAGGCCACCTCTGCACCACACACTGCTCTTGCAAAGTCAGCTTTTTAAAAATAGTTACGCAGAAACCTAATAAGCTTAAGTGTACCAAGATAAAACCTTAAATACAAGAATCTGCCTATATGAAAGGAAGTATTAAAAATCTTTTGTTTACCAAACTTAGCTGGATAAATGAAAGACCCGTTTTATTAAAAAAAAGAATCAAAGCTGTCACTTCAGAGCTAAGAGGATTTAGGAAATACTCAGAAGGGCAGCATTTACGTAACATGCTGTAAATATTAAAATCCCCGTTCCATTATGCTTCATGTTAGCTACGTACACAGTAATGTCACGCTGCAAACGTTCCCTTTAAAGCATTTAAGCTCACAAGCTGCTTCTGGCTAGTTACACAGAACATAGGAATGCTGTATACAGCCTGCAAACCTCATGGAGATGGGGCACTGATGGGGAGAACACAGAGCACTCGAAAGCTGAGGTCATTTATTCATTCTCCAAGGCGTAATTCTCATACTCAGCAATAAAAACCTTAGTATGAACCATGGACTGCTTGCACATTTTGTCTTTAGAAGCAAACCATTGGCAAAGCTGTTACAATCAAACCTTTCACCAGTATGGGAAATATTTGAGTGCACCTTCTTGGCCTATTGGCATTAAGTTTGATCAAAATCAAACATTAAAACATAATAATGAAAGGAAAGGGTGTGAGAAAAAAAAACACACATGCTTTCACAACTTGGTAAAACTAACAGCTAGAAACATTTTTGAGATCTGCAATTATATGCAAATATAGTCCATCTCTTAACAGACACTCTAACTCAGAATACAGTTTATTAATTAATTCCTCCTTTTTCCCCCCACAAATGTAAAACAGCATCAAGTTGCCAGGCAAAAGACAAGCCTTAGCTCAGATCTTTTACAACAGGCATTACGATAAAACACTTGTAAATGTGCATGCACACACTCCATAGGACTTCTGCCACACATCAACCACCACAAAAACCTGCTTGGGAAATGAGTAGGTGGGGTGCAATTAAGCCAATAATTTCTGGTTGGAGACAAGATTTGTACTCCACAAAAGCCAAAAGTTGGGGCAATTCTGGAGCAGCAGCGAACAGGCTCCTTGCAAGAGCTGCTGCTTGCTGCCTGGAGAACTAGTCCTCTTGGAGGGGGCTGTTTCTGACAGGAGCAAACTAAAAAGCAAAAAGCCAGGGATCCACCATGTGACATGCTAATGAGAGCACACAGTTCACAGGAGAGTTCAAAACCTCCTCTAAGAAAAGGTCAGACAGAAGTAATACATTTTATGCATCTGTGTCACTTCTCCTTCATCCTTGGCAGGGAAAATGAAGCATGCACTTGGCCTGCGGGTTTCTCAAATGTTCACTGCCAGCAGAGGAATTGGTCTATGCGTATGCATAAAATCCTGAAGCTGTAAATGAAAGAAAAGGCAGCACATTCACAAGGGCAGCGACCTTTTTATGAAATCAATGCTCTTCAGGCAACTCATTCTACATTTATATCACTGAGGGAAACCCATATGCTTTTCAAGAGAGTATCATGGAGCGAAACACCAGCGCAGAGCACTCTGGAGGAAAGCAGCTAGAGACTACTTCAGAAAAGAAATGTTCAATACTGAGATCCTCTTCAGTGCTCCTAACAGCTTGGGGACTAGATAAAAAGAAAAATCACATTTACCGTAGCCAATGCTTCCCCAGAGCCAGTAGCACCAACTAAAGACTGGAAGCCCAAATATTTCACAAAGTTACAACCTGATTAGATCTTAACTGCACAGACTAAGGTTTTCTGTGCAGGACATCACATTACACCTAAATTTTAGGGCTTCTTCGGAAAGATGCAGCTAAATCTGCTTAGCCATTTTCCGAGAAAGAGGCTAAGAAGCTGTAAGGTCTCTCAGGATTCAAAATGGGTTCCTAGAGACTTTTTTTTTGTGTGTGTGTTCATTTTTCAAGCATTGCCTTACTCACAAAACCCCTACAAACTTCTGCAATAAAAGGACCTAGGACCTATAAAGCAAGCAATACCAAGCCAAGCAGCTTTAATGCTGCTTGTAAAAGTTGCTGAGTCTGTTCAGTCAGTCACTGCACAAAACTTGCACCTAAGAACCAGCACAGGGGAGACTCCTCCACTTTCTAACAGGAATAAACCAAACAAGGATATTGCTCTTCTGCATCTGAAACAAAAACTGCATGCATAGTTTAAGAAAAGATCCGCTAACCCGGCAAACAGACATTTGTGGGTTTCACCATGGTACCACATTTTCCTATCTTGCATCTTTGCTTTGTCTCTCCTTTTGTATTACTTCAGACAGCAAACTTCTGAAGACTTGTGAGACCAAGATAAGCATTAGGAAAAGCTAATTCCCACTCTATGAGAATAATTTTCACTTTCCTCAATGAGGTGCATGCACCTGCTCCAGAAAAATCCACTATTTTCCATTAACTAGAAAAGGACCTTAGAGAAATCAGCCTCACTAACCAAAAGCCCGCTTTGGCAAAAACCTGTGTAAACCTGTTCTACAGATTAGTGTGTATAAAATACAGTAAGTAGTGAAAGCTAGACTTATTCAATTTGTGCATCTTTTACTGAGAACTTATGTTTTCTGCCATTTCTACCATGTACCAAAACAAGGCATTAGCTTCATTCAGGCTACCTGCTGGTCATCTCTCTAAGCTGGTGAGACAGATTTGGAGAAAGAATGGAAATCCTCTGTAATACATCCAAATCAGTGCTTAGGTGAAAAACAAAAGAATAAATGTTCCCAGAGAACAAAACATTTAATACCCAGGTACACAATGTCTGCTACAGTCAAATAGTGAGGCAGCATGGAAGGGAGAGGCAGAGGCAAGTCTCAAATGCCACAATTTTATTTCACTGAAACACTGGTTTCAGTATAATCTATCCAAGTAAGCTTTCAGCTAGCCCTCGGATTGAATCTCTTGCTGAAAGAATAATAAGAATCAACTCAAAACTTTCACATGTCTACAAATACCATACTTTATTTGAAAATTCTTCACCTCTGATAATTCAAGTATCAAGAAAACATCATAACATAGGGACATGAATAAAATTAGAACATAGGAGTTTCCTAAAAGAAGCTTCACTGAACAGTAAATTTGAAGATACATTTTTGATAAAGGCATTTCAGCAATATTGAAATCCATCACTGCCACAAGAGTAAATATAAAAACCATCAGCAGCATCCTTTGATTTAGTTCCTTTCTATTAGAACTCCTCAGGAATGGATAAGACCAGAGTCTCTCTTATCTTATGACAAAGTTGTAGAGTTAAAAATGAAAGAAAAATCTATATCCGTTACATTTACCAGACAAGCATTCTCCCACTTCTATTTTTATTATCCACAGTTGTAGCCATTCAAGTTGCTGGAATTGTTGAAAACGTGTATAAAAATATATATATAAAGATACCTCTAAAAAATTAAAGCATATATCTGAAGACTTTCATTTTAAAACATCAGCCGCATGTTTCTTTACAACCAGTTGTTACAGATATTTTTAAAGATGCAGTTCTCTATAAAAGGGACTAAGAGCTTCCATAGCCAGACAGATATATGATTAGAGATAACTGAAAACAGCAAGCCACATTTAGCATTCTAATACTCTTTTCTAATTATGGAATAATTTTTAGCAAATCTTTTTCTGCCTCCTCTGATGACTGATTAGGTGGTGAGGCTGAACACTGTGAAGAGATCCAGTTTTCACAAGTCATTGTGCCAAGTAATAGCAAAGACCCAGAAATTACTGTCACTGCGAGCGTCAGCTTAATGTATTACACTCATTCTGTTCGACCAATTGCACTGATTCTTTATTACGGGCTATTTTCCCTCAGGATCCACACAATATACTTTCTAATTTACAGCTTCTTGCCCTCTTATTGAAATAGGCCTGATTTCCCTCTTCTTCCTATTTCCCTTCCTAGAAGGATTTCCTATTACCTAGAAAGAGCCCCATGAATGTTCTGGCTAGAATTATCCCGCAGACCCAGGAGCAGTTTAAACCCGAATAAGCCCACCCCAATGAGAAAAGATTTATCCATCCTCTTCTCCTCTCTATTGATTTCAACTCCTTGCTCCCTGCTTGTCCTGGCAGAAGTGCTCATGCTTCACTTCACTGCACACTGAATTGGCTCAGGGAATTGATCCAGGTTAAAGCTATCCAGGAAATAAAGGTGAGTTTTAACCTCAATCAGTCCCTTTCATGAACGTTTGTGCTGGCAAAAGAGGTGCATGGGGAAAATGGCATCAGGGATAGAGGAGGAGGTTTGCACAGGGGTGTGCAGAAACCAGAAGCGCTTCAGTCTCCATCAGCCTCAGTTTAGGAACTGCTGCAATTTATACCAGTCTATCCACAGAACTACAGCAGCTTATGTGAACGGTGGGGGGTGCTTTTAACATGTCCACTCTGTAGCAAAATAAGGTTTTGCAAATATTGACAGGCTTCTCCAAAGCACAAATCTGTTCCAAGTTTTCCAGCAACATTTGGATTATGCCTTTTAACATCAGCTGTCCAAATGCTCTCCAGGAAGACAAAAGCTGGTATTATTTCTAAATGGAAACTGACATTCCTTGAGGCTGTTTATAAGGATGCTTTTAAGGTACTTCAGTGTTGCAGCGGACTATTTTCTAATCTGTATGGTATAATTCACCGGTCATTTCCCTCTTGCTGAGCTGTGCAATCATCAAATTAGTATTAACAAATTACCACAGTAGTATATCATGTTGGTGGTTTATCATTTGGATGGGTTAGTGGGAAACATAACTGAGGCCCACCTAACAGAGCCTATTTCACAGATCTTGCTTCCATAAAGCAGTTCTGTTCACTTGGCCGTCAGCAGTAAAGTACATCAAAAAGCAATTTTCCATTACTTGGATTAAAACAAACCTTCCAAGTAGAATTACAGAACAGCTGAGGTTGGAAGGGACCTCTGGGGATTGTCTAACCCAACCCCACTGCTCAAGCAAGGCACGTTGTGCAGGACACTTTCTGCACGGCTTGTGAATTATCTCTGAAGAAGGAGACTCGGTAACTTCTGGGCAATTGGCCCAGGGCTGAGTCAAAGGGAAGCGTCACCTGCCTTGACCTGCTGGCAATGCACCTCATGTACCCCAGGATACCACTGGCTTTCTTAGCACATGGGAGCACTGCTGGCACATGGTCACCTTCTTGTCCACTGGGACCTCCAAGCCCTTCTCCACCGAGTTGCTTTCCAGCATGTCAGCCCTCAGCCTGTACTGATACCTGGTGTTATTTCTTCCTAGGTGTAGGACCCTGCACTGCCCTCAGTTGAACTTCATGAGGTTCCTCTCTGCCCTTAGAAGTTCCTTAACTAGAAGAAACTTAAACTAGTTATTTTTTTTTTCGACCACATACAGTCTTCCTGAGCTAAATAAAAACCATATAATGACGTCAAGCAAAATATTTTGGTCTCCTGCTCCCCAGCTTATTCACAGCAATAACTTCTATCCTCAACACCCTTGTGCTTGTTTCATCCACACAGTGAACCATATACACACTATGCATATGAATACAAGTTACGAAAATTTAAAAAACAGTGCTTACCAGCTAGATCCATAAATGTTACCGACATCTCAAGATCATGCCTATCGATCACTCAAGGCTTAGGACTGCACACCGAAATTGTGAAAAGCCACGCTATTTTCATCAAAAGTTGTTTGACAGTCTAATGTTGTACATTGCTTATGTTTATTTTTCCCTGACGTTAAATGTTATCACATTGAGACTGCAAAAGATTGAAGATTTCTTTCCTAGATGTAGCTGCATTCTTGACTACAATTTCCAAAATTTTCATCTCACTGTAAAGCACTCAAACATTAATTTCTTGAACTCACCTATTTCTTGAACTAACCTAGAAGGCGCAGCATGCTGCTCTGAAGCAGTGTGCCAACCCAGTGTTCATCCAGCCAACAGCACAGCTCTGAATTCTGCATCAAACTAAAACCAGGGGCACCAGCTTGGACGGGTACCTCAGGCTTGAACCCCACAGGAAGTTTGAACTTCTGTCCTTCCTTTCAGATTCCTGTTAGATTATGATTTAGTAGTTATGGATAAATATTTACCAAGAGTTATCAGAGGTAGCTATCTATACCTTTAAAAAAATCCAGTAATTATACTTTACAAATAAGATGTAGCTGAGCAGGCTATGAAAAACATTCCCATAAGAATCATTTTCTCTCACTGCTTTTTAAATTTTCCACAAATCTACCTTAAATGATAAATGACTGGGTAAAAACTAAAATTTTCAACCACAAGTAGATGTTAGGATACAAACCCCATCTCATCAAGAATTAAAACTACCAAAATGCATTTAGTATTGTGTTCAATGAAAGAAAATAGCAACTTTTGTGATAAAGAACACTATGCTGCATGTCTAGGAATTTTCTCATTTTGGTCTTTCTTAGAGTTTTCTTTGTTTTACTATGGGGAAAGACAAAAGATGAGGACAGCAGTTAAGACCTTGACTGTGTGATAAGTTTTTCAAAGCTTACTCATCAACTCATCATCAACTGGAAATGTTTTTCATGCATGAAAGTTCTGTTACAGCATAATTATCTGCCTTAGCCCAGAAACATCCCTCCCAAAAGCAAGAATCCAAAATATTTATTTTCTGTTAAAGCATTGTGGGGCACAGCACAGAAAGACTGAAAAAACTCAAATGTGCCCCTACTTGTTTTCTTTTGCTATGGAGTTTTGGTCTCACATACATGAGAGCCTTTTATCAGATCCACTAGATGGTGCAATCCAACTTTTCCATTAAAAGTACTTGGGAGTTATACTATATGAAGTACTTAATTTCTGAAGAAAAAAAAAAGTAGAAGTTATGCTATTAAGCAAGGTAAGATTCATTACTGGAAGAACAATGGACCAACTTAATATAAAAGTTCAAAAGAGATCTGGCCTTGAAGCTCACCTATAGTAGCAGCCAAACTCTCCATTTTCAAAAGAAAAATGATTTCATCCCATTTCAGAGCTTAATAATGAGGTTTAACAAAATTTCCATCATATGAAAAAAAACTGATTAGAACAATGTATTTTAAATGATTTAAGTAACACCAACAGGAACATAGCCAAGCCAAGCTAAGGTGGTTAGCAGAATTAATGATGAAAGGGAACATCACACAGCTGAATGTTAGCATTTGAAAAACATTTTGTTTTCTTGAGTACTTCAGAAGAAAAAACAGCACTCCTAAGAACAGACTCCCACGACTACATTCTGACATCTCCCTTATCGGTCATAATCTTGACCTAAAGCTGGTCACTTTTCACTTCAGATTCCAGTTCCCAGTACTGTTAAGGATTTAAATCAGATAAGTAAATAGAAAAGGTAAGGAGGGGAGTAAATTTGCAGCACATCATCAGCCCTTCTTCATACTCTTGTCCATTGAAGTAAATAAATAAGATTAAATAGTAATTACATTGTCCCATAGCCAATGGAGAATGTAAAGGAGTTCAGGTTCACACTATAATTAAATCTATATTAATTGCTCATCTTCCCATACCTTAGAGCACTGTCTCAATGACAGATTACAGCCCTGATTTGGATCACGATCAAATTTTATTTCAGATCTTACCAAGATCTCAAATGCTCAAGGTCTGCCCCATCAATGAAAGAGATTCTATACTGCCTGATGCTCTCCCAGCAAGACTTACCACTGGGAACTGTGTGCAGTGCCTAGGTAAGGCTTAATTAGAAAGCAGGGTATGATGCTCCACTAGGGGCCTCAGAAGTGAAACAGGTACCTTGCCTTAAAAAATTCAGCAGGCCTTTGAAGCAATTTATTAATCTTTATCCTGGATGGTTTTGCTGGAGATCCCTAAATGCCTATTTTTATTCCCACTAATTCCTATTTTTTCCTCCTCAAAAAGATTTTCTTTTGAGCCTCACATAGGCTGTTAATTGACATGTTCTGCAATAGCTGGCAATGTAGCTCTTTGCAGCCTACCAAACTAAAATAAAAATAATTCACCAAAATCATTGAATTTTGGAATGATAATCCCTAAATCTCAAAAAAGATTTTTCTCCCCCCAAGCAACATGAACTGCACCTTAATATATTAGCAAATTAATACTAAACTTCATTTCCTTTCTCCTTTCAAAAGTAATTCCACTAACTACAGTATTAAAACACAAGATACAAGCAATTTATCTAGAATTAGTGAAATATTTCCTGACTAAACATTTGAAAAACGTCACTTGAAAAAAGTCTTCATAGAAACACATCTACTATGATGCATTTTGTTTAAAAGATCATTGCTTTTGCTGTTATTTGAGCTTGGGACAAAAGAATGTTCTAGTTCTTCATTTCATTCTAGAATTTTAAATATTTTAAACCAAACCACCAAATCCTGTTTGACAAGCTGTAGAGTGTAAATGGAGACTATGGAATGAAAAAGAGATATATCGATGTGAAAGGCAGGCTAGAAACTTAGTAATATTGAACTCACCACCAGCAATGCATCTAACAGGATCTTTACATAGAAATCATCCACATTCCTTTTGCCTGTTTTCAATTTGGATAGTGCTTACATACACTACTGACCTTATGGAGCGCAGGAGCCATAACTGGCACCAAAAATCCATTGTAAATGTAATTCACAAGCTGGTTACGTATCAAAGGATGTGCTACCTAAAAACATTAAAGAAACAGTACAGTTCCAATGAGATTTTAAAAAAGAAAAGATACCAGCTGTCAATATCCACCCCTAAAATCCTTGCTAACTCTGCTAAAGGATGTGCTGACTTAGCCCCTCTCACCAGAATTTGGTCTGATTCAGGCTCTTAAAAGATTTTTCCTTTTTCAAACAGATACACAAATTATGTTTAATTACAGGAACACTGCGAGCGTTCAAGAACAAGGCTTTTCAATCTTCCTGCATGCTGACAAAGATGAATGGATGGGCAGCGTCGCATGTGTGTCCATGCATCAAGAGAGAGCTACGGATTCTAATTTTAGCTCCTGCAACCTTGTCAGGGTCATCTGAAGGTGGATTTGCCATCCTTAACTCACGGTCTTGCAACAACAACAACAAAAAAAAAGCAGAATAGTGGTTCCTATAGAGATGAAGAGCAGCCCTGTCTAGCTATGGGGTAAGAGCATACTCTTTATACGCCTGTCCCTGCAAATCAGTAAAAAACAAACCCTAACATACTCATTTGGTGGGCTGGTTAGAAACTTGAAAAATTACTTATTACTGGAAACCAAAAACCTATTTTTACACGTTCATTTTGCTTTCACAAGAGAAAGCATATCACTGAGTTATACGTTAAAAGGATTCTGGTATGAAAAAATAGAAAACAATTTGGTAACGTTCTCATTCAGTATATTCTATTTGACATTTATATAGAGACTGGAATGTCTCAGCCTACGTGGGGCCACAAACATGTTCTTATTCTGTGATCCACAGAAAAAGGAAAAAAAAGTAGTAAATGGCAAGAATTCCTGGCTGTCCTATCCCTTTTCAACCTCTGGCCAAAGCTTTTGGGTTAGCACATCATGAGAACTATGCACAGAGCATAGTTTTGAATCATTGAATCACTGTTTATGTCCTGCTCTAACTGAGCTTTCTTCTACCATTTGCAGAGGGAAGTCTATAAAAACAGAATCAAACAGCACTTAAAAAAAATTACTCATTTTGCATATATATAGATGCTTACCCATTTTGAATTTATTTGAAAAAAGGTTTAAAAATTATATGCCTTCCTCTGTCTGCAGCACCTTTTAGATTAGTTAAAAATATCACAATCATCAAATGGTATCAAGTATGACCTCCTGCAAGTATAGGTCTCTCTGAAATATTCTACATAAGATACAAAAACGAATATTGTCTCCACTTCATGTTTCAACATGCACATTAAAAATCCTGTGTATGGCATTTAAAGGATGAATGTTAATATTAGTTTTGCTTGTTTAATGCTTTAAAGTAATACAGCCAATCTGCTGCTCTCCTCTATTTTGCATAGAGGTCTCACTAAAATATACCTTTCATTTAGCAGTAAATGTAACTACCTTTAAAAATCCTTTTCAGCACATTTATTCAAGTAACAAACAAACCCACAGTTTCTGCAGAAACTGTATTATATTTTAATAAAAAACATGCTGGATAAAGGTTCTGTAGAGTTCTCTGGTCTTAAAAACTATGCAAAAATACAAAGTTTCATTTTAGTTTTAGACTAGAGACAAAAATTAGAAAAGGATCAAATCCAAAAAAACAAAACAAGACATAATAATCAAGAACATGGAATGCGTTCTAGACAGACCAAGCTAGAAGAAATTTATACTCTTAAGAAGATACTTAAATTCAGCTTGGAATACTTTCTTCATAAAGTACTTATTAATAGGCAAAACAGATTATTTTCCCTTGTAAACTACTACGAGAATCCTTGAGATAAAGGCAAGATGTTTTTCAGTGCTCAAACAGATTATACTTATTTCTGCATGTAAGGACATTCAATGTACTTTTAATATCAACAGCGGTATTAAAATGCAGTATTTTTTTTTTTAATGCTCCAGTTAGGTAATGAAACATCAAGAAGTTGTACTGCATTCATTAGAAGCATTTGTCATCCAAAAACCAAGATTGTATTAATTAATCCTTAAAACCAGGACAAACAGGACAAAACATATATAAACAACATATATTAGTGCAGCTTAAAGTCCATACTGTTCATCAGTGTAAATAAATTCTACATTTCAAAGGCTTTGCAGAACATATACAAGTACTATTTCAAACGGGCAGGCCAATTGTGCTCCACTACCTGTATCACAGCATTGCAGAACTCGAGGGAGTTCATGAATTGGACAAGTGCTGGAGACAAGAGCCAGTCATCTTTCAGCAGACAGTGCCACTCGTCTCCTTTTTCTTCCAGCTTTGCAGGTAAAGATGAATAGAGGCCACTCAGTCCTGTTGCTAGCACCTGCATTCAAAAACACAAGGGAAATCAGTCAACTTTCAGCTGCTCTGCTTGATGGGCAATGCTGCACAACAAATCATTTCTGCTAGTTGTAGTAGAATAAGACAGCGTCATCATTAATTTTGCTTCTGTGTAACAGAAAGGGTTTTTTTTTTTTTTTTTTTTTTTTTTTTTTTTTTTTTAAGTACATCCTCCTCCTCCTAGCAGCTGCTATTGAGGAAAAAGTGAGGAGAAAAAGCAGATAACGAATATATTCTTTACCCGAAGTTAAATTTTCTTTTTAAATGCTCGTAAAATTCCTGCATACTTTCCTTCAGTCCTTTGCAGAAGGACTGCTGTATTTCTGAAGATTGTCTCATGGGTGGTTTGAATGTCACTGCTTACATATGCCTACATAAAGAGATTCCATTAGGAAATACCAGAAAATGAAGGGGAAGCATCCCATCAACAAATTCCAAGCACAGCCTCACTTAAACAACAGACTTGTATTACTAGGCACTAGAAATCAGTTGAATCCATTCTAAAAAGAAAACTCTAACTGTTTATAATTCACATTCGCCTTCCTATTTCTGAAAGGGAAGAAATTAAAAAGTCTGAAATAAATTACGGTATAGACATTATTTCCAGTGATAGTAAGACTTAGAAATGATTTATGTTGAATGTGTCATGCAAATGCAAAACTGCAGTTATATTTGTAAAGCATATTTTTAAAAATAATATAACTATATATTTCTAAGCTACTGGTAGTTTCAGAATAATTTTTTAAAAGTTATCTGAAGCAAAAAAACTTTATATGTATTGCTTACAATTCTTATTCTTCTGAGATGATATTATAGGACTTCAGGATGCTAAGTGACATTTATTTTAATTTGGTCATTAAGACTCAATCTGCTGGAAATCTTTTGGTTTTCATTCAAGAGATCCTTGCAAGAATTTGCCTTCTTTCTGAAAATAGCTATTTGACATCTACAGGGCTAGGCAGATGCTGCCCAGATGAAACATAACTGTTTTATCTATTAGAAAAAATGCTTGACAATGTGCAGGTCAAAGATCTAAAGTTCATGGAAGGGGCTTCTGGTCTTGATGATATGCAAGTGCAACCAGTTACAATTGCTAAGCCACCCAGGGGGACAAAGGCTGCTTTTCTGAATTCTTTCAACTCCTAAATCATTCAACTTTGAAGACAGATTTCTTCTGGTATTCACAATTAAGCCAAATATCATGGAAAAAAATAACTGTGGGAAAGTTACTGTTTTGGCATGCAAAACAACCTTTTTTTTTTTTTTTTTTTTAAAAAAAACACCCCCCAAAAAAAGATGTTCACCTAGTGTGTTGAAAAACTAAGAAGCTAAAGCCATTGCTTAAGGCATTATTTGCAAAATATTTTTTTTGCTTTTCTTTAAGATAGAATGGCTCAAAGAAATAAGTTAGAAAAGTCTGAAGAGACGTATAATACTGCTTACCTCAAACACTCCTAACTTATACTCTTAAATCCTGGCTTAAGACCTTTTTAGGAAGGCACAAATTCTGGACAATGTTGCAATCTGTTAATATATTTTTGACTTTCCATTGTCTGCTTAAAATTCATAAACTCATATGTAACTTCTCAGTAAACAAAGCAATCCAATTTCAGAGCTGTGTGCTACCCACATTTATTCTTGAGATGCAAGTTTAGTTCTTAAACACATGAATTAAACCTTGGGCAAAACATAGTACACCTCACTAAAAGGAGCAATGAACTTACGAGCAGTCAGCGTCTGGAAATGAGTAATTGTTTAGTTTTACTGAAGAAAGAAGTGATAACAGTGTAGCTGTTAAAATGTGCAAAGGTGTTTTTTTTTTTTTTTTTTTTTTTTTTTTTTTAAAAGCAACTTATTTCTGCTATGAAATGCAAACTTTTTACTGGTTTTACAAATGGCTCTACCTGAAGTTATGCTTCTAAGGCACAAAGAAACAGAGTGTTCATTGGAAGCAATTTCCTCTATTTATTTGGACAACATGATTTTTTTTTAAGAAGTTATGGTATAAACAGGACTACCTCTTGAAATTACTGACAGAATATTTGATATGCATTCTTCATGTTCTATAACCAAGCATACAAAATAATGCATGTATACAGATTGTTTTATGGAGTTGTCTTCAGTAAAACAAAACCAACCATCCATGATAAAAATCTTAAGAAGGAAGGAATAAATGAGGGCAAGTCTGCAGGGAGGAATGGGGCAAAGTATCATTGCTTCTATTTTTTGTTTTCCTCTAAACAGTGTTCTTTTAGACTCGTTCCAACATTTTTCATGTCAAGCCTATTTGCTTATCTGCTTTTACAAACATCTGCATCTAGCAAATACCATGCAGGGCAGCAGAGCACATTGCCAGGTGCTTTGAGATATAGACATAACCTCAACAACTCTCATCTGAGTGATACACAACAAAGGCACCAACACCGAGTCCTCCACTGGAACAAAACATGGTCCCCGAGCTTGTCATGATCAAATTCCAAAAAAAAGATTTTGCACTAGTGAGCTATTTCTAGACTAATTCTAAAACATTGCATTAAAATTTTATTATAGACTTTGGACAGTCTCATTACAGTTCAGAAAAGTCTGATTTTTAGCACATTTTGACAGGAAGCTTTCCTAATTAGGATGATTGTCAGTTGTGGCTCCCTGCTGTTCGAAGGTTAATATAGCTGCCTTCATCTTCAGTGTCAAAAGGCTTTAAAAAAAAAAAAAAAAAAGAAAAAGATAATTGGAAGATGTAATCATGGAAGTTATAGTGTGGATCTAATAATGATGTATGTCTCAGGGACAATTTAAGAACCAAGTTCAGTAGTCTTTAACAGGATCTATTAAACAAGGTCAACCGGAGGCTCTCAGCAGAAGAAATTTGCCACATGAGATGCAATATTTACAACTAGCAAAAGCAACAGTTCAGAAAGGTGGTTTTAGGGCTTGCAGGCCACCTACAAGCTCCAACTTGGCTCTGACCTACCACTCCAAGGACAGCAAGTGGAAGGTAAAGTCAGACCCCTACGGCTGGAGTAGCTGCCCTGCACTAACACTTAAGGAGGAGGAATTCTAGCATTCTCTGCTCTGAAGCTCTTGGCTTTAACAGTGATACAACTCTTCACTATGCCTTCCTCTCACTACCCTCACCCCTTGGTCATACAGGGGTTTCAGGGTGTGTTGCATCAGGCACCTTCCTACTTTCATTTTCACTTCCATCGGTTATTCAATGTGACAGGAAATCCACTTACACTGGCAGAAAGGAGGGATGGGCACTGGTATGTAATCAGGTAGCCAAAGACTAGCTAGAGGAAAAGACTAGAGTAGAGCTGGCTTGAACAACATTAAAACTTGTGAAACAGGGTATTAGCAACAATAATTAAGTGATAATACATTTTTCCCCAAAAAACACCAGAAAGAAAAGAAGAAAAATACAGGGGACAGCTTAAAATTTAAGACCAAACAAAACAAAAACCTTACCGGGCAAAAGTAGGTGTTTTCTGCTATGTGTTTTGCAACAACATTGTTTTCTGCAGAGAGAGACATTATGAAGAGCAATGCATCACGGGCCTGCTGGCCTACTGTTCCTTCTCGATGGATAAAGGGAATCAAGAGGGAAAAAATGAGGAAATTGGCAGCTCCCTGGTCCTCGCTGGTGTGGAAAAATAGTTCTAAAATGGAGGGATCTTTGGCTATTATAGAGCAGAGCTGGTTCAGGAGGACAACCAACTCTACTTCCACTGCTGGTGTGGTAGTCCCTGAGCAGGAGCTCAGCAACATCATCAAAGGCTTCAAGATGGGCTTGTGGTGCAGCAAAGGCTGATAAGACTGGGTAACCAGCATTTCATACATCTTAAGTTGCTCAATTTTTGTCTCATCAGTGAACTCTCGCCGGAGGCTCCAAAGAAAGAGCTTTTCCATGATGTTTTCTGAAACCACAAACTCCAGGATGGGTCCCATTGAGGCATCATTTGCTTGCTCCTCAATTAACAGGAAAAGCATGTGCTCTACATAATTCTGCACAGTGCTGGCTTCATCAGGTGGAATCGCCCCATACTTTGCCTGAGCATTTTTCAGAGGATCATGCTTCTCTAAGATTTTTAGAACCTGAAGAGAAACAAATGCATATTTATCATGAGCATATGTTTAAAAATATGAATCTACCTATACAAGGAAAAAGAAAACCAACAAAAAAAGGAATTATTAACATGAAAAGGCCCAAAATCTTTCATACTTCTATTTTTAGCCTAAGTGAAGCAGTCTAAATTTAAAGTTTCACATTTGGCAAGTATTTGAGGTCAATATGCAATGCTTTCATTCATTTTTTATAAACATCTAAATTTGCCAATTGTCCCTGCTGAAAAATTTGAATTCTCAGGAAAATGGACAAATTAGATTCCCTTTGCTTTCCAAAACTTTGTTTCAGGAATGTTTGAAATATATTTCTCTGTCAGAGCACTCTGAAATCAAGACACCTCACCCCATCTTATGTGAAATTAAAAGGCCACTGACACCTGTGTACTCTTTGAACCTACAAAATATTACACAGACCTGAGTGTAATTGTCATCCTGGCGCACATACATCTAGATTGAATTCTATTCTGCAATCACTGAAGTTCACTATCCATATAAAACAACCCCTGCATTTAGCTCTTGTCAGGGCTGGTCACCAAACACACACATAGGAACAGTGGCTCCCTAATACACCACTGCAGCCAAGTCAGAAAGATGGCTCAACACAGGAAACATCTCAAGAATAGCTCCACTTGTCTGCTTACTTCTCAAAGTAGCAGAAACAGCAAATTAAAAGTTTCATGCAAACCATTAGTTATTCATATTATTGCAGTAAATAAAACCTTATATTACAATGATCAGAGCAAAACATCTTTGCCTGAAAAAATACAACCCTTATGACATGTCAACATTTTTTAGAATATGCCGAAGTGCATATCTTGAAATCTGTACCTATCCACAAAATAACAACACTGCATGCAGCTTTGCATCCATACCTCTAGAAGTCTTTACAAAAGACATGCAAGCCTTTCGTAGCACAAAGAAAGGTAGAGCAGAGGTTAGCCATATGGCCCAAGCCGCAATGAACCGCTAAGAATTCCAGTAAGATCTCTGCTTTCCGTACAAAATATTAACATATGCTTCCTTTTCAGTTGCAAATCTGAAGTTTAAAGTGTAAATAAGTAAAGCCTAAGCATAATTTCCAAGGTCAACTACTTTTTTTTTAAATATGTTTCAATGCCATTCCATGCATTCAGCACGATAAACACCTGTTTCTGAGCAGTACAGCGTTATCCCAAATGAATGAAGTAAATTCTGATTAATGCAACCTACTTGAAAACAACAAAACCAATTAACATTACCTGTGTCCAGTGTGTTCTAAACACTATCATACATGTTTCTGGGTCAACACCCTGCAGGCTCACAGCCTGCCGATTTTTGCTGAGACTGGCTCCAGAGGACATCCTAAGTTCTCCAAAGGTCAAGCTCACTAGGCCATGCTTGAATTCTCTTGAAAATCCTGCTGTCAGTTACAAATGTTCAAGCATCACAACGAGATGATTTGAGCTGTTTTTGAGCTTCTGTATCCACAGAAACCTGTTAAAAATACATATATATGCATGCACATCTATTATAGCATTAACAAAAAAGAACACAGTTAAAAAAAAGACAACAAAACCTTTTCTTCTTTTAATTCAGATTTAAAATGGATTTTTTAAAGCCTGTTATATGGAACCATCTTCTCAAACTTTTAATCATAATGATAGTTTTGTTTTTTTTTTTTTTTTTTTTTGTCCTCAGAGAGGTATTTTGGGATCAGTAGTGGAATGAAGGTACTACAGGATAAATACAGGCAATAGAAGCTTCAGCAGTAAACATTTTATGCATATTTCACTATATCTTTATATTATGTTGTTTTAGCCTTCTGACCTTTCCTCTTTTCAGAGTTGCTTAGTAACTAATTTTGCATAAACTATTCAGGTAAACAAAGTACAGGTTATTTTCTAGACTATCTAAAAACAGTCTTTTCATCAACAGACATAATTACAGATACTTAGTGTTTTCTGTCAGGAAAGCATACTATAAACCATTTAAAGGTCTGCAGAGGACAATAAACATATAAAAGGATGCATCTGTATCAATACCAGACTAACCAAAAGCAGAGCACATGAAAGAAATATTTCACAAATCCAAAGTCAAATAAATTGAGATGTCATAATAAAGGAACATGAAAATAAGACAGAGAACAAACACTGAATCTTTCTTTTCATTCCTTATTTAATATCCTAGATATCTGAGTAACAAAGTAGACGAACACCTGCAGGGGAAAGTTAAAATGAAACAAAGAAAAGTATCTTCCACATACTTACGAGAGGCTTAAGAGAACATATTTTCCCCTCAAGCACCAATATCTAAAGCAGGCATACAATACTTCTTTTTCTGTCTCTCCAAAAGCTTTAGATTTTTATTTTCCTTTTTTGCAAACTGACTCGGCATTTAATTCAATTTTTTGCCAGAGCAAAAAAAATCCCGAAGAGTTTAGAGACAATAAACACGTTACAAATCTGAACAGCTCATACGCATCACAGCAAGTTTCCATTTGCTAGTGGCTGCATTTTGAAATAGTCTTTTATTCTCCAGTCTTCACTAGAACTGTCTTATGAATCATGGACATTCATAAGCTCTTTGGGAAATTTTTGTGCTCTGAGTTGCCAAAGCCTATGCAACAATATATTAGGTATATCTCTGCCAGTATTTCTTCTGCATATACTTTAAAGGATAAAAAAAATCTTTCCTGGCAGTGGTTATCTCCAGGGAAGCTGCTCCCCAGATCACAAGTCACCAGGAACCTGACACACAGGGGTGCAGTGGGCAACAACTGCCCAGGTGAGCTCAGTGAGAGGCAGCAAGTCTGGAAACAGGAATAATTCCTTATAACATGATATCCAAGGTATCTTTTGTTATCATGGTATCTCTTCCATATTTACACTGATCTACACTTTCAAGTTCTCCATCTGGACAAAGCAGCTCATCTCCCTCATTCACTTGAAAACACCTATCAGTAAACTCTTATTTCACAACTGTTTACTTCATACTTTCTGTTCCAGCATAGGAATAATAATAACAAAAAGTATATATGTGTATATGCTTTTATATACATTAAAGAGTGATCAAAGTTATAAATGGATTTGATAACTCAACTGCAAAGGCCTATGATCTAAATGTTACTGTTAATAACTTACTTAAATAGCAAGTACTAGATGTTCAATGGTCAGTTTCTGGAGACTTGCATTTATTGAAAACTCAGTAGTCCCCTCCCCCAAAATCATGCAGAAAATAAAACACAGGCTTAGATACCACTTGTAAAAAGCCAGCTTTAGGCAATTCATCTAATATCATATGTAATAATGCCAAGGAACGTTTATTGACCTATTCTTTAGATCACCTGTCCATTTCCAGACAGCTCCCCCTCTGTTACCCCTCCTCACCAGATGCAAATCTTCCCATTTCCATAGCAATTAAGAAGACTCCTTCAGGCAAGGATGTCCTCCGCTCCATAACCCTGACTCATGCAATGAAATGAAGCAAGCAGTTTTGGAAAACCTAATGTGATCATGTAATTAAAGATGGTATCGTAACATGCAGCAAAAAGTCTTAATTAACCTTGCAGAAGCAAGCTGGAGTCTGGAAGTTACTAGTTTTGAACTGCTTCACTATGCCAATGAGAGGTTGCTTCAACATAGAGTTATTACAGAATATCAGCAAAACAAAATGATACTACATGTATCTAGATACTGCATGATGAATTTTGTCTTTGGAATGATCTCAACAGTAGAATCAGAAACTTCAGATCAACTTCCATGAATGATATCAAGATTATGATTTTCTTAGAAGATATTGATAAAAACATGAGGAGAAATGGTGACATAAGACTTGAAGAGTGTGCAAAGCTCCAGGAGGTACCATACACTGGCAGCCTAAAAAGCATTCAATCTGCTACCCCTCTCTCCTCCAATCTGTCCTGCCTATTCAGACTCAACTCTACAACCTTTGTAACTGTATCCATCTCTCTCTTCTCATTTTATTCTCTCTCCACTGACACCTCACTAAATAAGAGATAAACATTTTTACTCTTTTCATCTCTATCTAAACAGTCAAACACACTTCTGAAGGGGAAGGTGTGAGACCAGTATCTCAGCCATTACAGACCCCTTAGTGTTTCTTTACTTCTCAACAGCCATGAAAAGACTTCAGTAGCAATGCATTGGTACAGATGCATTTCAGCACACATATATAGGAAAAAAAGGCACCCAATCACTCACTTGCAGTGAGGTTCTGCTTCACAATACCTCTCACCACCCCTTCAGAGCAGAGCAGCATACACAGCGACTCACTGGTACGAGCCACCCTTCCATTTGTGCATCCAGGACAGCTCATTTCCCACAAATCCACAGCTTGATTATCACTGCTTGTTATAAGTTCTTATAACAACCATGTTATCAAGCACTCAAGCTTGCCTTCACTAATGGCTTACTGTCTAGGCAGATGACTTCAGTAATCTGTGTTTATTGTATGGGCATCTTGTCCTACACACAAATATTCTAAGTCTAACCCTGCCATGCAAGGTAAGCAGAGACAGTCCCTGTGAATGAAGCCTCTTAGACAAGTAAATGTATCCTTATCTCCTGCATGAAGTCCTCTAAGGTGGTGCATTTACTATCTTATTGCTTGATAAACCTTTAAGAGGATGCAATGTTTGACAAATGCTGTTAAAAAAGTAAATTCATCTTTCTAGCATGTATGCATTATAATTACAAATTGCACCTGTTGGCCTATTGCACACACAGCACTAGATTAAAGCCATTTACATCTTTAATAACAAAGAATCATGAAAAATATCTGTCATTCTTTGGTGACAAACAATATCTCAGAGAATAAAATGCTATCAGGAATAGCTCATTCTTAATGCTCGCTCCTACTGTACTAAGTTATCATAAATTAACTATAAAGTACCAAGATAAAAATACAAAAATAATTTTTTTTACCCCAAAACACCTTGCCTGCAGCAAGCATTAGGTTAACCAGATCTAAATTCACTTGCATTTATTCAGCTATTAGATTACAAATAACTTAACAGTAGCAAGGAAACACAGACATCCTCCTTATGGGGCAAATACTATGGCTTACTAAACATTTCTAACTTAAAAGTAACTAGACAGTAACAAGCAAGACAGCAACTTTCAAAGATAGTAAGACCAAGTCAATTCTCCCAATGAAGTAAAATTTCCACTTTAGAGTGCATGTTGGGATACTAGGATTAACTTGCAATAATAATAGCAAAATTATATCATACAATTATAATATAAAATACTAACATTGTGTACGCTTGAAATGCTATTACTTAGTAGCAGCAGCCTCCACAATCACAGTTTTGTGCTCCAACAAATCCTCACGTGAAACAAGACATTGCATCACACGGATGAGGCCCTGGAGCCTGAAGAGACACAGGGATCTGAGCAATGTCATGCTGGATGGCTGTGGCAGAGCAAAGAACTGAGCAGCCTGCCCACACCTCCCAATTGCTATTCCAGTCCTGACGGTCACAGCCCTCCCTGAGATCTTCCTATACCCTTTGCACAGCTGTACAGCAGTTTCTAAAAACAGTCAATTAATTTGCACCTCATACAAACTGTGTCAGCTTTATAGTAAATATTTTTCAATGTGAAGTTGTGGGAGGAAAGTGAGAATTGGTTTCTGACCATCCACCAAAACCTGGTTAACTGTTGCATATGCTGTATATGCCAACAGGATGCTCACAAACACCTAATTTCTCTCTAAGCAGCAGCAGAGGAAGTTCCATGAAGCAGAGTTCCATAACTGTTTATATGCAGTCACTGGTAAGCCCATGAACACTAGGAGGGAAAGACAGCAGAAACCTTTAGCATGAGTTCAAGTATTAAAAAGCTGTCTCCAATTGCATGGAGGAGCATTAGTTGTAATGCTGCTGTTGAGACACAGCCACCGGACTCTTGGAGGGTCTCTGCTTTCAGCTCCCCCTCACGGGTTTGTAAGTCAACCCTTTTTCCACCACCAATTACAGTGCTGAACTCCCCACAAACTTAAGTGCTTATTTTACTGCAGAGTATGTTAAAAGCAGCCCAGCAGATAAGCCCTAGTGAAGTGTATTCTCTCTGGAGCATCCTCTCTCAGAAATTTTGCTTTTGAATTAAAGAAAGCATCACAAAAAATGCAATATTGGGCTTTCCCCAGGCAGTAGGCAATGTACAAAGAGATAGGGACTATACACAATATATAATATAGTACAGGAAACTAAAAGTATGATGTAAGGCCCTGCAATTTATTTATCTTCCCCTGAATCTCTAAAAGATGTGTTCTCCAGCACCTCCCTAACAACTGCGCTACTGTCACAACACGGGGTAGGCTTGCGTTTTGCTCACCACAG